CTCCACACTAATATGTACACCACAATAAAATGTTTGCATTCCCACAATTATGCACAAATATCAACAATCTTAATGTAATCCATAACTTTCATGCTTGTAAAGCCCCTATAACATCAAATGTTTTGAAGAACATAACAATAATTATGGTCAAGTGTAATAACTGTTTTTGTAGACAAACGCAGCAACTATTTTCCAAGCAACTATTTTCCACGACACTGCTGAGGATAATGGCTAAGTTATATGGAGGATTGTAATGTAGCATAAACTTTTTTTTAATATTAGAATGGAGTGGATTTTTTTTCCATTTGTTTCCAGGCAATGAGTTTGAGTTTGTTTCATTGTACTACGTGTAGCTGTGGGAGTCACAGTCACAGAATCCTGACATCCTTAGTCCAGATGTTAATGGAAACAAATCTAGTTTATTGGTTTGAGCTTGTTGAGGCCCAAATCGAATGAGCAGGGAACTGAATTATCACAGTAATGCTCTGGAGATTTAAGGTGCGTTGCTGTTAAGATTGCATCATGATAGAGGTGGGATATTTATAGTAGTGCTGCCATGTTATAGCAAAAAATGTAGAATCAATTGAAGGATTCAGGAGGAGATGGCGGTGAAGTGGTACCACGTAGTGCCATGGAATGATGTGTAGTAGAACAGACTCGGATTAAATGTGTTCATAAATTGCAATGTTCCTAACCTACAACATATCAATAAATTCTGAAGATACATTAATTGGCAGATATAAAAAGCACTTCTATAAACAAATAGCCCACTTAAAACTTGCATTATTTTAAATCACTGAATTTTGCCTTTTCCAGATTTGTGCTGTTTCTGATATTGCATTGAATTACTAATATCTGCTTTTAGTAGTTTTTACTTTTGATACTTTTATTAACTGCAGATAGTGCAAGCAGAGATTATTATGTATCTCATCTGCAGATTCCTGACTGAAGTGATGGACAAGCTGTCAATTCCTAGGCTTTGAACAAGATATTAGGGAGTGCTAACTCGACATTATTTTTTGCCTTTTTCACCCCAAAGAAGGAGCTCAATTCTCCTCTCCATCTCTCCTCATCTCTCCACTACACCTCCTCCAGATTTCAAGAGAGGTTCAGAAAAAAGCCATTTGATCCTTTTCACTTCATCCTTCCAGAATACCCAACCTACCGTCCTTCCATCACAGTACTGATCTTTTTCTTATTAACATGAGAAACTCTCTGCAGAATACCAAAGCAAACTTTTTTCTTTTACTCGTCTTCTCCCTACTTGAAAGGTGGTAATTTACACTAAAATATTTGCCTAAGGTCCAGCAACTTTGTTGGTATCCTATTGGAGTAGCCATTCTTCACGAATGAGTCTAGGCAACACAATAAAACTTCTACCTGACCTCCACACATACACATTTCCAGTTGGAAACACTAGATAGTGATCAGGAAAAAGAACTCTGGCCGATTTTTGCCTCCCTACCCCAGAGACACTGAAGCAATTGTAGAGGCCCACTGCTGCCACAGCTGAGATCAACTAACTGGGATCCATGCATGTTAATCAAGCCTGGTACTGTATAGCTCAGTTTACCAATTGAACTACCAGGGGAGGCTCCTGATCTTTATCCAGTGACTCTGCTGGGATGTGTGTGTGTACCCATCAGGTGAGGACAGGATCAGGCTTGACTGTGATTCTCCTATAGTCAAATGGCTTGCCAACACTCACAGGCCAGGCTGACTATGAAGCCCAGAGAGCTTCTGATGCCTGTCAATCCATACCAGAGCGTGAGGTGGTACTTTCAAGAGATGATGGGACAAAAGGATAGTGAATTGGGAAGGGGATGAAATCATACATGATTATAGTTTGTAAATTGGATTTTACTCCAGATGTCTATTAATCATGTGAAACATTCAAAGCACTGAGAACTGTATAATTAATTTCCAATACTGTAACAGTAAGGATATTTCAAAACCATCCCGATGTTTTTCGCTAACAAGTTAAGATGCTACAAGTTTTTAAAACTCTCACGTTTTTGCGAAATGCTCTTGTAAAGTATTCAGTAAAGTATCCAAGTTCGTATTGGACATAAAGAGTGGTTTGTTTATTCGGCCTTTGATATATGCCTTTTGTCTGTATGACTGTAGGTTTTTGTTTCACGTAGCGCATTGACTACAAGAGCAAGGAGGTTAGCTTCAATGTTGCAGCACTGTGTTCAATTTTGAGCACCCCATTATAGAAAGGACATCACATCATGGAGAAATTATAGTGGAGACTTACTAGGTAGTTACCAGGGGTGAGAGGTTACAATAATGTGGAAATTAGGACTTTTTTTAGAACGAAAAGAGCAACAGCAACTTGTGTTTATATCCTGTAGTGCCTTTTACCTGGGGAAACTTCTCAGAGCACTTCCAAAGTTAAGGGAAATCTGATAGAGATTTTCAAAATTATGAATAGTTTTGACCGGGTCAATATAGAAAGACGATTGTCATTGCAATGACTGATGAGTCGATAAAAGGAAGGCATAAATTGAGGATTATTAACAAAAGAAAAAAGCGGGCAAGTTAAGGGATAATTAAACGGTTGTTAAAATATGGAATTGTTTACCATGATTATGCTGTTGAAGGCAAGTCCATAACATTCTTTATAAGGCACTTGCATAAGTATGTGAGGAAAATAACATTAAAGGGTATTGGGGGGAAAAGCAGGGAGTGGGATTAGAATAGATAATGGGGATTGAAGCACCAACATTGCCACAATGGGCCGAAAGGATTCTGTACCTCTCAATAACAGTATATACTCTGTGTGCACGAGCAATGGTTTGTAATCCCACTTCACTCCTCATTTCTCAGATGTGTGGCCTCAGGCCAAATTTGTTAGAAGTTCATTATCTCACGGCTTGTCACAACATTACATTTTAATTTTTAAAATGGAATCAGTATCTTACTTAATGATCTGTTATAAATTTAGGTGGTGCAATGAAACATCTGGAACAATCTTTTCAATGTTTTTTTTTCCCCTGGATGTTTGGGAACTTGAGGGTTAAGAGATAAAGTGAAACGCTAATGTCCATTAATTATTTCTTCTGTTTCCTGGAAGTTTCAAAATAGCTGACAAAAATATTAAAAGGCAGTCAGTCGCTTGGCATTCATCCAGAATGTGGCAAAACATCAGTTGTTTTATATCATGGAAAGTTCTTTCCGATGATGTGAGCAGAACGGTGTAGATTTTTAATTTTCGTATTAAAAAAATCTCTTGACACGCTTAATTGGACGTCAGGGTGTAATACAGGAACTTCCGCCATCTGATGGATGAATTGTTTTCCTATTAGATTAAGGCTGAGGTCCAAAGTTTTTCCACTGAAGTACGTACAATGTTTCAAAGCAATGAAGTGTACTTTTTTTTTAAACGGTGAGCCTTGCTTTCCTAACACAATTGTACAATTAACTAATTTGTGTTTTGGAAAGGGAAGCACATGCTCAATTATATTATTAATTGAGAATGAATTATAAACAGCTATAAATGAAACCAAGTACTAACTGTAGAGATTAACTTTTATGTTGTGTATCTGACTGTTAATCACTCTAAATATTTATTTCATGCTGCTGATTTTTGATATTAGTTCACATTGATACTGGAATAATAATAATAAGCCTTGCATTTGGTATAATAATAATAATCCTTGCAGTTGATATAGCGCTTTATCATGTCTTCTTAAGACGTCTGCAGCTCGTGTACTGTCCCACACCAGGCTTCGCGACCGCATCATTCCCACCCTCGCTCGCCTCCACTGGCTCCCCATCCCCCAGAGGATCGAATTCAAGATCCTCATCCTCACCTACAAGGCCATTCACGGCCTTGCTCCCTTCTACCTCTCTGACCTACTATCCTCCTACCTACCTGCCCGTACCCTCCGTTCCTTCTGCTCCACACCCCCCGCCCCAACCGCCCTACCATCGGTGGCCGGGCCTTCAGCCTCTCAGCCCCTAGGCTCGGGAACTCCATCCCCCAGTGCCTTCGCCGCCTCCTCCCTTTCCTCCTTCAAGGCCGGTCTCAAGACCTTTCTCTTTGACCGTGTCTTCAGCTCCCCTCTTGACTCTCTTCCCCCTCCTCGCTCCCTCCCTTCCCCCCCCTCATCCTGACCATTTCCCCCCTGCTCGGGTCCTGACCCAAATGTCCAGTGCCTTGGGACGTCCTCCCGACGTGAAAGGCGCTCTATAAATGGAATCTTGTTGTTGTTGTCTCAAAGCCCTTCACAAAATATACTTTAAAGTGAATTCACTGTATATTTTGTGGGCGAAATGTGACAGCCAATTGCACACATCAGTAACCCATAAATACTCATGGATTGAGTGACAAAATTATTATTTTTTTTTGAAGGGATTATTTTCCCCAGAAAAGTGATCCACCAATCGACTAACAACCGGGTTTCCACTTACAGCTAGACTTGCCCAACATTTTGCCCTCCTCGGGAATTGAACCCAGGTCCTCTCACTTGCAAGGCGAGTGCTCTAACCACTAAGTTAAGGACTCCACATGATGGTGTAAACACCATTCCCCCCATGGCAGACAATGATCAGTCGCCATGCTGGGTGCGACATCCCTGCAAGATGGATAGAGTGAAGAGGCAAAACGTATCCGACATAAATTTCATCACACCAAATTTCTGTGATAAAAATTAACAAGTGACCATGGGAAAATACTATGTGACCAGAGGCTGCATAAGGTTAGTTAGTTAGTTAGTTAGTTAGTTAGTTAGTTAGTTAGTTAGTTAGTTAGTTAGTTAGTTAGTTAGTTAGTTAGTTAGTTAGTTAGTTAGTTAGTTAGTTAGTTAGTTAGTTAGTTAGTTAGTTAGTTAGTTAGTTAGTTAGTTAGTTAGTTGTGCTGTACAGACAGCTATTAAGGTAAAATGTTTAGTGAATTGTTTTGTACAAAAAAAATGGTCAAGGTCTCACACCCATTACCTCCAGGAACACTTAGAAACTATGGTGTATGAGACCTTGACCTTTTTTTTGTGTGGAGTCCTGTAGCTCAGCGGTTAGAGCACTCGCCTTTCAAGCGAGAAATCTGGATTCGATTCCCTGCAGGACGAAACCTTGGGCAAGTTTCCTTACTCCGCACGCCTCAAGAATAATCCCTCAAGAAAAAAACAATAATAAATTGGTCACTTCAATCCATGACTGTTTGTGGGACACCGCTGTGCACAATTGGCTGCCGCGTTTCGCCCACAAATATACAGTCAATTCACTTTACAGCATATTTTGTGAAGTGCTTTCGTGTCTTCTAGACGCAAATGCAAGGATTATTGTTACAATATTATTCTCAGATGCACAATATTCTGTTATGGGCTAGTTACAATTTGGAAATTAATTTTTGGATGTCCTTTTTTTCTTACCTCTCAAACATATCTGTGGCCACTTTCCCCTTACCCCCCTCCCCTCTCCCCTCCGTCTCAATCAGCGTCTGGCACCATCATTGTAAAGCACTGTGAGATGCTAACCTAAATTTAAGGTACTATATAGATGCTAGTTCTTATTGTAGAAACTCATTTTTAGCCCTTGACTGACTTTCTAAAATCTGGATTCGATTATCACAACTAAAAACACAATGTAAATTAAAAATCAGTGATTATATATAATTCTCTACCTGCTTTTCTGAAGGCCCTAATGCTGTAATTTATTTCCATGACACCAGCCACTCTCAACCAAGAGGCCATTCATTTTATGTGAGCCTGTGGGTGACATCACAACCCAATTTATTCCTGTTTTTGCACAAAATCTACAAATGAACACTTTCCAGCAGTTTCAAGAGTCAGAATATTTACTAATTTTGATCATCCTAGCCCAGGGCCAATCTCAGCAAAGACCAATAAGTGATGTTTTCTATGTCCTATTCCATAGCTGCAGGTTATATGTTTTAAACCACTTTTACCCTGTCTGAATAATGTGTGCTAATTGCAGAATAATTTTAGAGTCAACCTTATAATACAGATTTGTACCTAATGTACTTAAACTCTCAAGAAAGATCACTTAATCAAGGATGACAGAATACCTTACAGTGATGGTGAGGACACAGGTAATTTTATGATCCTGTAAGACGCTTCTCAAAAAGTTGTCAGTTGGGAAAGGGATAAGCTTGTACATATAAATAATTATAACGGTGCTGTTGTATGACTTACGTTTCAACCACTGTGTAGGATGTAAGGAAATGTTTTCCAGTTACCATGGTAGTTGAAGCTACACTGCAGTTATTTGTTGAGTCAATACTCTGAACATTTTAGTGACCCCTCCCCTGCTGCTGCAACACAAGTTATCTTTTTTATTAGTGGTTGAATCTTGAACTTTTTACAGTGAATTGCTGTTGTAGGACTGCATAGAAACAGTGATCTGTACATCTGTTGCCCTGGGTTTTGCTCAAAAAATGCTATTGAAGTTCCATGCTCTGTGCTACTCAGCAGGTTTCAGTACCTTCAGTATATTGTCGTTGTAAATGGTCACGTCAATTGTTGTTTTTTAAGTGGATCTGATTGTGAGCTTAGGAGTTAAAAGTTTGATTGTTGTGCCTTCCATCGTGTTCATGGTACAGTAATTGAATCTTGTGATAAAGCTGCTTTATATTGTATGTACATGTTTGGAAGGTTTGTTTCTTTTTACATAAGGCTTACAAATCATGAAAATTGCCCATTTCAAGATTTTGTGTGTTCTTTTTCCTCTTCTAAAGGGTACCGAATGATCCCGGCTCTTGCCACCCTCTTTTACCTGGCTGTGTCCATTCTTGTCTGAGCCAAGAAGTGTTGGCAGACAAACTCAACAGTGAGGCCATCATATCTTGGTCCTCACCCGATGTGCATAAACAAACACTTTCCGGCAGGGGTCACTGGATAATGAGCAGTAACTCTGACTGACTCCCTTCCCCCACTTTGCTGAGTAGTGCCTCTTCCACCATCATGGCTGAGATAGACTCTTACAGCACTTACCTGGGATTGAGCTGAAAGCTTGGTTTGCATTGGCTTAGTTTAACATTGGAAAGTGTCTTTACCAATTAAAACAATGGGGAGTCCTGAAATTTCACACTTTTCATACTTTGGAAGTGAATAAAGTACATCTTTTTAGAACAGAGGTCCCAGAACCTGGTCTGTGCTAGGTTAGCTGATCTCAGCCAAAGCAGCTTTTATAGTGCAACAATTGACCTTAGGGCCCCTAAGCTATGAGGGAAAATCCAACAGGGTTCCTTGAACACTGTCCAGTGACCCTTGCTGGAAAGTGCACGAGTGAATGTGAATCTTGGGTGAAGACAGGATCTGTCTCACCTGCAATGCCCAGCCTTTCTGCCCCCTACCCTTTGGAACTCCATCCCACAGTTCCTCGTCTCGCCCCCTCCCTTGCGTCCTTCAAGATCTATCTGTCAGCCTAGTCTGTGAACTCAAACATATAACACAGTGCAAGAAAGTGCCTGGGTGAGTGGGGGTGGGGTTTGGGGGTGGGGGGGAGCGGTTTGGTGAGGGGTGGCAGGGGGTGAGAGTGGGGGAAAGAGAAATTTGCGTAACTCCTCACAGACAAGTATGGCAACTGCTGATTGTCTTTAACCACAGACTGAGTTGTGTGACCATTACCAATCATTGTAAGATTTCTATTGTTGAACATATTCTCATTGATATTAAGGGTATACAGGGTGTTATTCCTGTACGACTTTAGTTTATTTAAACAGTAATCTTATGCATCAAAGGACAAAGACAATTCTGTACACAAGGGCAAAGTGCAACCGAAACACCAGATGATCTTACAGTACAAGCTCTGTTCATGGCTCATAACTTCATTCTTCTGGAAAGCTGGTATGGATTAAATCCTGGAGTGGAACTTGTGGTGTAAGCTGTTGCCAGCATTAAAATGCACTCTTCCAGCAGTAGTTTTCATACTAATGTAACACCAGTATTGCCACAGTGGAGTGAGAGCAGTCCCTAGAGTGGTGACCTTATAAGACTATGTAAGTCTTTGAACACGATGCATGTTCTTTGCAATCCTAGCAGACTTTGTTCAGTTGCAGCCTTGTTGCCTCTTGACATTACCTTTGACTTTATATGTTCAATCCAGTAGGTCAGAGAGCAAACTTTCTATTATTTTTATTAAGAAACTCTTTAACAAGCCTTGAACATTTATACTTCTTTAGTAAGAGGAACCAGCTTTTATGAAATCATTTGTCTAAACGTAATGCAATTTGCAGGTTTGGCGTCAGCAAACTATATTTGACTGGATGTAATTTTTAGAAAAAACAAGTAACACTCAAACATTGTCTGCAGTTTCAAATATTAGGATAGTTTCTGTTTTGAATATTTATTTCAAAACGGATGGGAAATAATCCAAATTGACAATTTTCTGAGGAGCCACAATTTATGAATTAAGATACAGTTTTCATTTTATTTATTAAGAGTCAAACATTTATTTTCATTTAATGTTTAGTTTCACCATAGACAATGAACCTTTTTGGTTTCGGGCAAGCTATAGTCTGCTGTTACTTTGACCTCTAATCTAATACAAGAATAAAGAATGGAAGAATAGATAATTATCAGTACACTAGTTGCTTCCTCCACCACTAATTCCCACTTTATTTCAAGATGTAATTGTAACAGATATTCTTTTCTCTTTTAAACTTGGGCCTCTGCATGATAAATGTTAATTAATACAGGAAATGTTTGTGTTCAGATGGAAAAATTACCTCCAGGTCAAATGGCTAGGATAAAAGAATTTACATCTAATCTAATTAACACCTATTAGATGTTATGGAAGAATTTTCACCAGTAAACAACTCATTATGCATTGATTTGGCTTTCCCGTGATGAAGCAGCAAATCGTTTTAACACTTTTTAATGCCCGTTTCTTATCTATGTTTGCTACAACTGGTATCAGCTGTAAAGTACTTTCCCAAATTATCTGTGTTGACATAAGTGCTCATTGTAGTTTCCTTATGTGGCTTATCAGTTAATTTTTGGTATTTGCACTTGGATAAAGTTGGAATTGAAGTCACTTGATGGAGTGAGAAAGAAAACATCCTTTGCTTATCCACTCTCCTGCTGGTAGCTGAGTATCAGATACACTGTTTATTGTATTAGTACTGTCGTTAGGTGTAATAGTGCGGTTCTTACTTCTAATGAACTTTACCACCAGACTACTTGATCATGACTAAGTCTAGGAGCAATGCAAATGGAATTGCCCCCTGATGATAAAGAATGGGGCCCAGCTGGCCCTGAAAAGGTGATAATTAGAAAATACAGTATATCTGTATAGCCTGAATGGAAGCTACTTGTTACAGACATTTGATCTCTTTAAATGACCATTTAAGTATGTTTTGAAAGGAACCAGCGTATTGCAGAAAAGGGAACTTTATACTGTATTAATGAATGTGTGTGTTTTTTTTAAACACACTTTTACTAAGAACATGAACAGCTGTTTAGAAAAAAAGAGTGCAGCAACTTCAGTAACATGTTGTCGGCATGCACTGAAGTGACAGTTTGACATTCATCAGTAACAGCCCAGGCTTATGAAACAGTGTTCGGTCTCTGCCTTCTTCTTCCTTCCTGCCCTACACATCCTGCAGGAGGGGTTCCCTGCTCTTCCTGGCTTGCGGGGAGGGGAGTCATCGGCCTGCCACCTAGCCACTTGCTGACAGGTCTCTGGGGGGCTGTATTCCTTTCATTCCCACAGTCAAAAACTAAATAACTAAACCTTGCCTGGCAATCCTGAATCAGCTACTTCCTACCTTTTCTTTGACCAGTGTTTTTTTTTAACTATTCACATTGAAATACATCAATTCTTTCTTTTTTCTCTCTCTAGAAATTAGTTTTATGTCTTCCTTCCTCTGGTCATGTCGGACTGGGGGCGAAAAAAGTGCTCGGCTACTAAGTAGTAGCAGCAAGCATCTGTAAGATTGAAACCATTTACAGAAAAGGAATTTACAGCAGCCAGATGAAACTTAGTCAAATTCATTGGAATTGCTATTCCCTCTGGTATGGGTATTTTGCACACAGAGCTAAGATTTTTATGCAGTAATTACTTTTAGCAGCCGTTGTTCCCAATTATAATTTATGATTTGAATTTTGTACAATAAAGTGAAACCCACTCATTGTGGACTATATTGAAACTTAATTTTTACACTGAAAATATTCCAACATCCCAAGTCACTTATTTTGTAACAAAATAGTCTGTAAAAATCTAGACATTATTCCTCTGTTCTTTAGCTCACGAGGGGATGGAAATTCCGCACAGAACATTAATTATGTGAACTAAGATGGCTGACAGAAATTGGGGAGTTAACAGGAAAACAGGCGTTAATTGTACAACCTAACTTCCTGTGAATTTTGTGAGTTTTGTGCGCCTGTTTGTTGTAGATACGGGAATCCTGTGGAAACCACTAAAGGAACAAGTCTACAACTTTAAGCTAAATGATCGTAATAACACTGGTCATACGTAGCTCCCCTGCTTACCATAATCTTCTTCACTTTCCAGTGTAGCTGTGCTCTCCCCCACTGTCATCTGTGGGAACCCATCATCTGCCTCACCCCCCTGCCCCCCCCCCCCCCCATTAAGAATACTATGCATATCTACAATGTGGGGGAAGATTGTGTATTACTCAGGCATGACTTGGAGAATGTCCTAACATTCTCCTGTTCTGTTCAACTTACCTTTGTTCTAGCCTTTAGATCATTGAATGCCATCTCATCTTCAGGCAGGACATCTTTGAGCACTGGAAACATTGGCCCGGGCCAATCCATTCCCCCTTCATCTGTGCTAGGCAATTTGCCAGTGGAACAAGAAGACTCTTTTAGACGCTCATGACCGTCACTGCACCTATCCCTCCATCCTTCCACTCCCCCTCCCTTGGAGCTTAGCCTACCTCTGCCTTGATATCCTTCTTGGGTTCATGTTTGAACATCCATTTCCTATTGAAGCTGACATGTGTATATAAGGCCAACTCCACAAATTTAAGTTTAAAACTCTGCATTGATCCACTTGCAATGTTAGTAAAGAGCCAGAGAGACCGTGTGTATGAACCCAAACCTCGAATGCTAGCATCCAACTCACTGCCACCCAGGCCTCTTATTTTTAGGACTAAAAACATTAATAGTTGTTTTCTTTTCATTCTGATTTTCAACATTTTAACATTTTTAGCTCCTTGCAGATGTTTACAGTCACCTTCAACCATTATGATTGACTGACAGTTCAGTATGAGTTTTTCATCTGGCCAGTTAGTGTCTGACACATGTGGAAACCCAGCACCATACTTAAGAATACAATGACAATTTGCATTTATATGGGATAGCATCCCAGAGCACTTGAAGTATCCAAACCATACAGAGTTCCACATTTATATGAAACCTACACATGGAGATTTTCCTATGTTTACATTGGAATAGGCACTCTCTCCCTTCAGTGATGCATCGTGATTACCTAAGTCTTGAGACTATTAGGTTGGCAAGTGCTGCGGCTTGAAGACCTAGTGTATGGGTTAGGGTCTGTTAAAGTAACCAGCTAAAACCAGGTAGCTTGGCATTGAGTCCATTGACTGGCAAGCTTCCCGCTGTTTGACCAGCTAGAACCACCCTACCCATTAAAGCTTTGGCTTGACTGAATAACAGGAAGTGAGTGGGAAGAAATCCTGCCCCAGTGACTGGTCTGAAGTTTCAAGCCCTGCCAATGAGCCAGTCTGGCTGGTCAGTCATTAGCAGTGCCCTGGAATATTGCTGATCCACATGGCTCAGGAATTGAACTACTGAAAACTACCCCACAGAGGACTCACTCGATTCTGACATTCTGCTGCCAAGCATGTTACCTCGGAGGGAGCTCATCTCAAAGGAAGACGCTGTCTACCTCAGATTATGAGTTAGATAACCTATTTTTCTCTATCCTTCTCAAATAACAAGTTGCTAACACACCGTGCACCATACAGCTGTGGTGCACTCACTTACTTAACTAAGTAAAAGCAAGCAAGTGAAATAGGAGACAGACTTAGAACTCAACCTCATGACACTGAGACTTAAATCCTCATGATTATTTGTGCTATCGGAGTACCTTTCATTCTTATTCTTTACGAAACTTGAACCTACCAAGACTGAGTTAGAATACTAGCCTTTCACCACAGGGACCTGGGTTCAAATCCACCACAGACTGATGGATGAAAGTCTATGTGCTCTCTGCTCAGTGTAAAGATCTAACATGAAATGAGTTTGGGCAGTCTCAATCTAGTTCTTATTAGGTGTGACTCCACAGCATAAAATTGCTCAAATTCAGCACTAATTGGTGCTAAATCCTGTAGAAAATGGAAAAAATCCCAGTCGTGCTGTTGTGGCTGTTAATTTGAAGTTGGGGTAATGCATATTGTTGAGGTAGAATAATTGATGAACCAAATCCAGTGTTTGATGCTGACACTAAGTGACAAAAGTCAAAAAGTGTTTTGTTTGCAGAAGTGACACTCTCACGTCTGTGGAAAACAAACTTGGAAAAAAACAGAAACATAGAACATCCTTTTGAAGCATTTATTTTCCATTTTTTAGTTACTTAAGGAACTGATTCTTGCTTCTGTACAGTTCCGTAGACCTTACTCATGTGGCTTTTCTTCATGTAGCAGGATGCAGGACTTTCTTCAGAGTGCCAGCAGGATATTCACTAAAGAAGAAATCATACCCAGGCCCAAGCTTATCCTCACCTGCTGCACTCACACAACATACTTTCAGTGGATAAAAATCATTAAATGTTTGCACCACAAAAGACTATTCATCCTGATGTGTTTATTTTGTTGCTAGTTCCCCCATTGGAGCTGTCTGCTGTCTTTCCCCAAACTCATTCAGATTATTTGTAGATTGTCAAGTATCCAATTCAGTTTTAAATGTTATGAATGGCGAAAGTGATATTAGGAAGTTTTGGCAGGCGAATCTACTATGCAGGACGTCAAAACTGAGGGAGATCCTTTCCTCATGCAATGTGCACATGCACACACTCACTCACTTTCCAGCAGGGGTCATAGATAGCAATTAGGAACAGGAACCCCGGCTAACTTTTCCCCTCCCTAGCCTTAGGGCACTGAAGTTAACAGTAGGACCCCTACTGCCAACTGGCTGAGATCAGCTAACTCAGCACAGATGGGGGATTGAATCTGGAATCTTATTTGGGATGTATGCTGGATTTCACTCCAGGCAATAGCTTTACCAACTGAGCGATCGGAAGAGCCCCTTCAGGGCCTTCTGCTCCACTCTCCTTAACATTACTGCTTACATGGCTGAGAACTAGGTCAATTCTGAAGCCTTCTCTGTTCTGAAATGTGCTGGGAAGTCCTGGATGACATTTCTTCAACTTCCCAAAAATACTAACAAGATGTGTTCAGTGAGTAAATGCCCTATGCTGCAGAGTATTGTTATGACATGCAGTATATAGATCAGTGTGATCCCATTTTTCTCTTTTTTTCTATCCTTTTCTGAAGACAGTGAATCATGCTAGGTATGGTTTATTGGAAGTGTGAGCCTTGATAGTGAGTTTTGGCAATCTGTTCAACAGAGATATCATTTGATCTTACCTTGTCTTATCCAGGTTTATACTGTACCCACATTTGGTTTCCAGTAGGGGTCACTATATAATAATTACAAGTAGAAACTCAAACTCAATAACTCATTTCTTCTACCCACCCCCCCCCCAACCCCCCACCACCTTTAGGTAAGGGATACTGGTCAATTGTATAACCCATATATTGCTCCGTACCTCCTGAAATCCACCTTCCTTTTCTGTATTCAAATTCCAACTGAATCCCTACCTGTTTGATTTTAATTAATTCAGCTCAAAACACAGAATATATTAAAACCTTTGTGAATTGGAATGATGTCTAATGACCTATCTTTATCAGTAACAATGATACATCATTTACCAATACCATCCACAAATTTCTTATTATAAACAGAAGATACTTCTAGTGCTTCAGTATGTTATCAACAATATATTGATTGTGTAAGATGTATGCTTGAGTATTCCACTGAGGAATCAGAAATATTTGTTTTCAGCCAACTCCCCCAATGCTCCCAGCTCCAACCTAGCCCTCGCAGACTGCCACTCACTCACGTAAAGTGCTTAAAGGCAGTATAAGTGTAAATTATTATTATTGTAATGGATTTGCTCCTTGGCTTATACAGAGGTGGCTGATATTAACCATGGTGGTGGTGGAGTGGTGTAGTTGGTGTCAGTGATCGTGGGGATGGAATTGGAAAATAAATTAAACAAGGTTCTCGCTCCTAATTGTCAATCAGCTACGATTGGAAAATGTAAGTATTTAGCTATGGAGTGGATCGAATCAGGGTAAATTGTGATGTAATTGCCGCCTCCCTCCCATTAAATAGCCCCATAGATACTCACTGTCCAGTTACTTTTGAAGGCTACTTGGGTGAGATATTGGCACATTGCAGACTCTCATGGAACAAAACCCCAGCATGAATCTCAGGAAAGAAGGGGAGGGAGAAATGTTGTAGTGGGGGAAAAACCTCTCAAGTTGTCTTCATTATAAGTATTATGAGTCTTTTTCAACATACTCCAGTAAGTTTTTTTTCAGGCAAACTTTTTTTTAATTTGCAAACAAGAACTTTCTGCCTGGAAAGAAGCATTGGAATAAGAAATTGGACATTTATTGTGGGGTTTTATCATACAAGTTTATATTCAGGCTTTGGTGAAATCTCTCTGTAATGTCAGTATCATGGGACAGGAACGAGTAAAGAGAACTTTGAGCTGACATGACTTGACACTATATAATCAAGGGTGAAAAGTGCTTGGTTAAGCTGCACATACATTAAAATTGAAATGATAAGAAAATAAAGCAAGAATCCTGGGCAAGGATGAGATGCAGATTCATGAAGAGTTAAAACCATTTAACCTGTAGACTTGCTAGGGCATTCCAACCAAATAGGCCACATTGTGTTGCATTCATTTGTAAATTTGACATTTGCCCTGCATGTAAGAAATATGAATTGTTATTTCCTTCAAAGAGTTGAAGGATAAGACAGTATAATGCACTTTCTGTTTATTTATCGGAATAAGAGGCATTTCTGCCTCTGTTCTCCTGGATCTCTAAATATTTCACTCCAACTTGAGTAAACTTTGGCTGTTTGCAATTTACTTTATTTTTTTATTATTTCTAGGAGTTTTCCAGATGTTAATTTTGGAAAATTATTTGCACGAATACTGTGATAATAATAATCCTTGCATTTGATATAACATTTTTCGCGTCTTCTAGACGTCTCAAAGCTCTTCACAGAACATACAGTAAAATGAATTGATTGTATATTTGCGGGCAAAACATGGCAGCTAATTACATACAGCGGTGCGCAACAGTGATGAAATAAAATTCAAATCATTACTTAAGCAAAAGTTGTCACTTGTAAGCAAGTGGGCATGGGTGAGAACAGCTAACTGAAAAAGTTTTCTTCTTGATTATTTGAGCAGTTTCTTCGGTAGATGATATTACCAAGCCTTGCGTTGTATAATAAATGTTTGCTTGTCTTCAAGTTCAAGTCGCGTTCACTTGGATAACATTACATAAAAGTACTAAGTCAGTATAAAACGCTGCTTGCCACATGACACTCAAAAGATTTTAGCACTCAGAAGCTTTTTTCATTCCTGGAATTATACTTTATTGTATCAAGTGGATTTTACTTTGTGTTTTGTATTCAGTCTCTTCTCCCAGGACAGTAAGGGACATCATGTGGAGTAACCTAACTATACTAGTGTAAGTCGAGCTTTCCCCCTCTGGGAAACCATATTGCCGATAAAAAAACTATCTCTTATGGTTGTTACAAACTAAGTAAAATTAGTTCTGGCAGGGGATGTGTAAACTCCAAGTAAAGTTCCCTGGGCCTGAAGCGAAAAGCAGTAAGAGAAGGCCTTCTCATACTAATGTGCCATACAGTTACTTAAAACTAACACAGTTAAAATACCATTCAATGTCTCCGTGCCCTTGCCCCATTGTACCTCTGTGATCTTCTGCAGACCTACTCCACTGGCCATCCCCTCCACTTTGCTAGCTAAGGCCTTCTTCGCTCTCTGCCCCAGTAACAGTTGGTGAGGTTTCAGCTACTTTGCCAAGGGCAATCTTTCAAGTATTTTATACTGTTCTTCAGAACCTTCCTCCTAAATTCTTCACATTCTTTTCTGCTTTTGAAACCTCCCTATCTCCCACAGTGAACGGTAACCAATTCATCTCTATATACCAATTTGAGACATTTTCCTATGTGAAAGATGTACTATAAGTGCAAGTTTTTGTTGTCGTTTATTCCTATCCTCACATCTCCTTTATTTATCCCTGGCCAGGTTTCCACAAATATACATTTTAGCCCCATCAGCAGAGTTGTTTTCATGCCATTGCTTTAAGTCTACTTAAAGGGAATTTTTTTGCCTATGAATAGGTTCAGGGTTTTAGCATTTAATCCACTTAAATATTTCTATATTTTCTTCTGTCTGGTGTTCCAGGGCCACACACTATGTCTCGCTGAAAGGGAATGATTCAAATCCTAGTCTACGGTCAAACAGAGTTATGAGTCAGTTTCTTAGAAATGTGGAGTGTTGGCCTAATGACGACCATCTCTTTCATACTCTCTTCCCCTAGGAAGTGCATGTTCTCCCCTAAGTGCCTCCCTACATTGATGTGGCTAAGATTGAGAACACCCAGAGACTTTAGTGGTTAAAAACACCATTTAATATTATACTGAGCAATACAGGCTAGGAAGGTGCCAAATTTGATTCTAAGCTCAGTCACAATGTCGGTTGAGATAACAACAGCCTCATACATTTGGGCTGTTGATCCTGTATTCCATTCCAAACTAGGGAAATCCAATATATAGGTGGCATGCATGGAACTCTTAGTCTAGTTTGGATACTGTTAAGCATGGTGATGGGTTTACGTATTCCACAGACACCGCGCTGACCCCCAAAAGTACACAGTACTGACCCCAGTGGCACACTACTAACAAATGACTCATATATGTAGGAGATCTCATATACACTATGCTTTCTACCAAATAACAATTTCAAAATCCAGTTTAATATATTGCCATCTGAGGCCTAATCCTTATGCAATAGTTTATTTTGTGGAACAGTGTGAAAACCTTTCTAAAATCTGGGTAAATAACATCCACCATCACATAGCCAGCCTTCTCTGATTAACTTGTGAACCTTAACATGGGAGGTTCATTTGCTATTTCTCAATCTTCTGGAATTTGCTCGATATCTACTGAATTCTGAAAAATAGCTGTGAGAGGACTAAAGGAGATAAAGAAAGCATGTATTTCTGATTCTATAGTGGAATACTCGTGCATAAATCAACAACAACTTGGATTTATATAGCGCCCTCCACGCCGGACGGCATCTCAGAGCTCAAATCTTACACAATCAATAACTTGTTAATGAAATATTGTAGAGCGCTAGAAGTAATTTCTGCTTATTGTGGTAACATTTGTAGATGGTGCTCAATACTTTGTATCTTTGTTATTGATAAGGATAGGCCATCAGTCATCTGTCCAATTCAGAAAGGTCATCTGTATTTTTAATACATTCTGCATTTTGATCTGAATGAGTTAAAATGTTAACCAATTATATCTACAAAGATTGCATGATGAAGTGTTTACCTAGATGTGAAAGCTTTTATTTCCCTTGTGTGTTGCCTTCTCATGCTGCTGTTGACAGGGTTCATATCTGAAAATACTGCAGTGCAGTGTGTTGACATGCATATTCATAACACTGATTAAGTGTTTGCTATTTGCCATCCAGAAACTAACCTGGCTACTCTTTGTATGAATGATTTTTGTGATTCAGCTACCACCATAGCAGAGTGTCACAGATTACTGAATTAATGGAGAACTAATGTAGTCATTCAACCTGTGTAAAAAAAAATGACTCGTTGTGCATTGGTGTAAGGTGTACCTAATTGTTTGACAATGTGAAAATATGCAGTTTTCAGGAATAAAGCTTGTTTGTACTCATTTAAACTCCAGAGAAAATGTTCTATGCTTACACTGTTTCACAATCTTTGTTAGGGCAAACAAGAGATGTTTGAAATATGTAGGGTACTATCATAGCAATAAACTGTATATAGGTCAGTAACCTTACAATGATTGTGCAGTTGATCTCACCTTAAATAAAGTTACATCTGGTCAGATCCTGACAACTAGAATATCTTTCAGGAAAGATACATGCCAATAACTTTGCAGACCTCCAAGTATCCCATGTTCAAGTGTTCCTGTGTGCTGAGTTAGCGTATCTGAGCTGGAGCAGCAGTGGGTAGGGGGAACATGATCCAAGGTTTTCACTGTCAATCTCCTGTGTGGATGTAGATGAAGATTTGATTAATCCAACTACGACAATGTTTTGCCACCTCTTCTCAGGTAAGTAGCCCTCCATTACTCCCTTTCCATTCTGATGAATAGAGAATAGGTGTTTTGCAAGGTACCTTAGGTTTCTAGCACCCATGGAACATAATCACCCATGGAACACAAGCCTTTGGGAGAGAAGTGAAAAATATCAATAATTAATATTAATTAATTGATTGATTAATTAATTAATTGAGAGGATTGAGTATTGGGTCCAGAAAAAGCCGGTATAGAAAGTACCAAGGATTCAGTTGTAAACCACGCAGACTACAACAGATGTAAAGAGAGACAGCAAGACAAGCTAGATTTTAACTGTCTTTATTAACTTTGCAGAATTGCAAAATTACTTTACACCAAGACCTCCAGTGTGAGTAACCTGTGTACCCTGACAGCAGATGCAGGGATATCATTGGTGCCCTGATTGGTCAGTTAGGTGAGCTCCCAAGGTAAGAAACACAAGCTTACAATATGTTGCCATTGTATAGAATGGGTCTGCAATTTGAGAGCAAAGAGCATCAAGTAGAGGGGAGGGTTGGGATTTTTCAGATCCATTGAAAATGTATAGCTAAGACATTTTCCTATCTCACCAGTACCACTTTATCTTAGAGGAAACAAAGTAGAGGGACGAAAATTCTTTAATGCTTCCCTATAACTCCCTGTTTTGCCCCACATGTAAAGAGACTGTCATTGGCGATGTGAACAATCCTTAAGTCAGGGATTCAATCTTTCAAGATTTCCCACTAACAAAACACTGAGAAAGGTACAAAAGATGGTATGCAGTCGGTTAACCAGTCAGCCTGAATCCCAGGGCAGAGAGTGATATTCAGGGAACTGCAAGAGAAATATTTTCTCATATGAGTTGAATCTGAATATCAGCAGGATTTGAAGGTAAATGAAGTGTTATTTTTAAAAATATTTGAATTTTTATTGTGAATTTTGTAAGTGTTACCCACCTGAGCATCTAGCATCAGAACCAAGGACAGCAAAAACAAAACTTGCATTTATATAGCGCCCTTCATGCTCTTCTCAATAATGTGCCTCACCCCCAATCTCTGAACAATACCTCCAAGCTGTGTGACATTTTGCATTTGCCACACTAACTATCCCATAGTCCTCTGTGTGATATTAAAATTCAGTGCTGAATTCAGAACAGTTTTGTACTGTGAAGCTACGCCACATGGAACTGGGTTGAGATTGCTCAAGCACAAATCACAAAAATCATGCCGATTAATTGCTTATATTTTTATATATAAATAATTTTCACCTGAAGCATTTGGTAGGTAACATTTTTAACTTCTCATTAACCATTGGGTGAAGCTAAATTACACTTTCATAAACAGATGATGCTATACATAAAATGTCAACATTTACTGTATGTCTGTGGAACATTGCCATAGAAAATTAGAAGTTCCTTTGACATCCTAACAATAGGCTTTCTGTCTCATGGAGTTCTGTAATGATCACCTTTACCCTAACGAGGCAGACAATAGTTTCTGGACTTTGAGACACA